AGATCTGCTTGATGCTGCTATGCTTTGAAACTTACTACCTAGAGCCCTTTTAAGTATTTCACATTTACCTTTATGTACTCGAAAATGTAGAATATGTTCTCCATTTTTTTTTTTTTTTTTTTTAGTTTCAATGCATGTTCAGCGATTACACTTTGGGTTTTAGTGCTTATGATTATAGACTATACAAAAAAAGAATTCTGCTTGAGTTAAATCACTTGCATCCTTTGCTTCCATCCATTGCATCAATTACTCAAGCATAAGGAAGTCTATATAATCAAATTATTGGGTGGTACTTGCTTAAATTAAGAGGGATTTCCAGTTGCCTAAATTTTAGTGTTAAGATAGAGAAGACTGTATAGGTAGTAGGAAAGCAGAAATAATTTGTAGAATTTATGGGTTAATTGACTGAAATACTATGTGAAGGAAATACAGTTGATAGCCTACTTTTCATTTGACAAATATGGTTGCGTATGAACAACATAAAAAACAAACTTCTTATTTTTATTGTTTAAGTTGTTTTGTGTTATCTTCCTTAGCATTATAGAGAAGAGGGATAGAAAATCTTGTTTAAAATAAAAGACTGGCAACTAGAAATCCTTTTAATTTTTATCACAAAAGAGCAGATGGTGACAGCAAAAACGAATTTTGGACTTCAGAGAGATGAGGTATTAAGAGTAATTCTTTCCTACGTAAGAAAAATATTCTGAGAGTGAGTAAGTTTGGTTTTGTAAAACACCTTCAGATCCTTAAGAAGGTGACAGTTACAGAAACTGCAAATGTGACTGTATATATTTGTCATCCTGATTCAGATATTTTGCACTTTGTTTTTCAAATTTTCAGATTTTTGTACTTTGACAAAAAATATTGATAATCAGAATCTTTTTGAAGAAGTACATTTGCACTGCCATTTACTGAGCGTTTTTGTTTGTTTGGTTGGTTGTTTTTGTTTGTTTGTTTGTTTTCTTACCACTAAGAAAAAAATACAAAGACTTAATATACAGCAACCTTTTTCTCATTCTGGGCTCTGAAGACTGAGGTGGATATATTCCCCTAACGCACTATTATGGTGAAATCATGTTCTTCATGATAGCTGTGCTGACATTCTCTTCAGGTGCAGAACATTATAATGCTATTTTACAGTTGTTGTACAGAGGCAGAATTTGGTCTTTTGGTTCTTTACTAAAGGTAGTAAAGTGCTAAGTGATAAGAACAGAGTTTGGCAAGCTCAGCTTTAGGAACATTTAGAAAGTGAATCTATTTTTGCTTATACATGGAGAAACTCTTGAGATACATACACGAAAATAATCACGTGTCACTCCAGTCACTTTGCAGGAGGCAACTACATTTTAATATTCCATTTTGATGATAAATATAATGCAAAGTACTATAAATGTGCCATTCATTAAAGGATCTTAAGCTTGTAATGAAAATCAGTTAATGAACAGAGGGATTCTGCTGTCATACTTGTATTGCAAAGGTGTGCCCAGTGACCACACAGAAATTGTTCAGCATGCTCATCCATGTTTCAGTGTGTCCATGATCTCCATGGCATGCCTTCTTTCCAATGGAAAAATTTGTTTCTTGTTTCTTGTATTATTTTTTGTTTGTTTGATTGATGTTCTTGTCTCCAGTTTGTGCTTTGACCAGGCCAGGTTTTCTTCTTCATGGGTCCTGGAATTCTCTGGCTGATGAATATCTTCATTTAATGTTTTTGGAGCAGAGAACAGGTTGTTCTGCACCAATTGTCTCTTCCCTGTAAGTGTCACGTGTGTGAAAATCCGTAACTCCCGTGGATAGAAGGTCCAAAAAGGCCTTTTAATCTTAATGGTTGCAAATCAAAGCAAGTTTTATAGGTGTTTAAAGAGGTTCCTTACTGCTGTTGTAAACTGCAAGTATTTAAATAGATGGTCTAACTTTCTATGGACGTTACATTGAGATGGGAAAGGGGTTTTGGTTTATACTGAAGTTGTTTGGATGAGGTATGTGTATATGAATGTGAATATTCAGATAAATAAAAGAAAGGAGGGATGTTTGTGTGAGGCACAGAGGAACTGAAAATCATCTGATAGTGAAGAGGTAGTGAAAGGTCTTTTTTGTGGTGTGAATTTCTCTTAATCAACTGCAAGTCAAAGTGTAGGAAAACTTCAAACAACTTGGCAGAAGAAATCAGGTGATGTTGGAGGATGGGAAAATATAGCATTACACTTGTGAGTATACATCAATCCTAAAAGGCAGATTTAAAAATATTTTTGTTGTTTCACTGTGCTGGTTTATAACATTGTACTGGATTATGTTGTTTGTTGTTATATTACAAATACGCAGAAGAAGTAAATCTGAAATGGAGATGCAACAAAGATTTAAAAAATATTAGTTCACCAAAATTTGTCCTTCATCTTCCAAACTAACATATATCCTGTATGACAGGAAAATCACTCTCTTTTTCTTCTCCACTTAAGACAACATTAGACATTTGATTTATTTGTTAGAAATTATTTGCATTTAAAAAAAAAAAAAAAAAGTATGCCCTTAGCCCACTGGGAAGACCTTTTTACATAGCTGTTCAGGATGAGTATCATAGAATAGGAATTCAGTCCTGTTGTTGTGGGTTGATTTGTTTTTTAAAATACTGTGGTAAGATGACAGTGCATATGTTTTCAATTAACAACAAATCTTTGCAGCAGTATGAACAATTACTTTATTCCTAAGGAGAAAAACAGAATACTGTGTAAAAATGCATTTCAGAAAGAAGTCATCACACTGCATCTCCAAAATGCTTCTCACTTTCAGTAAGAAGTTATCTAGTGTCTTTCAGTTTTACAGAGTTGCCCTGGCATGATTGTGTGTTAGTAAAACTAGTATTTTTCTGAACAAAAGAAGTACTACAATGCCAAACAAATTTTACAGGACAGGTGATTAATTTATGTCTGAAGAGAGAATGCAAAAACACAAGTACAGTAAGATGAGATTTGGGAATTACTGGTGCTAGCCATGTAGCAGGAATAAATGGAAAACACATTGGCTGATTTCATTGCATGCTTGCATTTGAAGATGTGGAAGAAGACATAACACAGTTCTTTCTTTTAATTTTTTTAAACTTTAGCAGAGAAACTATTGCTCATGGCAAGTGCTTTATTTTAAGAGTAATCTGAGGGTATTAACATCACTTTGTGCTTTTAAAAGTACTTTTTTATTACAATCAAATTTAATTTGAAAAATGGAGTACTTTGGGAATTGATTTTCGTTGTGCTAGCATTATCACAGGTGATAAAGGGCTAGAATTCATAGACAGCCTAGATGTGTTTTTAGCAGTTAATGTTATAGAGACACTAATTCAAAACATTCCAAAACATATTGTGTCCTCCTTCGTAACAAACATGTTTAATTATGGGCCAATGCACAAAGTCTGGGTCTAGGCACTCCTGGACAGAGGTTTCAATTTGATTTTCCAAGGAAATGAGACTTACGTGACCAGAATAATTGTGTCTGGTTTGAACCTTCTGTTTGATTTCGATTTAATTCCGCAAAGAGGTCAAAGTTAAAGAGCTGTATTTTCTTAACTGCAGCATTTTTACTACTGCTAGGTGGTTAAAAATAAGGAAAGGAGAAGGCTTCACTACAGTAACCCAATTAAGGTCAAACCAAAGAATCACTAGAGGAGAGGCTCCTTTCGAAGTACCTGTGGGAAGAAGTGGCAATCAGTCAGTCACAAAAAGTGATCTAGCTGCCCGTGCATGAGCGTGTAGTATCATGCACTTAGATGCCTGGGCACACAGCATAAGACCTGCTTCCTGCCTGGAGGTGCATAGGTTTTTCATGTTATTTTTTGTTTTGTAAGTTATTTTTTGAGTGAGAACACAACCTTATTCTAGAGCGAGAAGATTATATGTCCGCTTTGGGGGATTAAAGTGTCTTCTATTTTACAAGAACAAATATAAACCAAGTTAATACTGAATTAACTGCTCTCCACATGGAAGTCAGGGAGGAAAATTTAACTTCTTAGAGAACAATGTTCTATGATATATAGGGGATGTGCATATGCATTGTGCATGTTTGTTGACATTAGAGTACCTGGGACTTAGCAAGGTTGTGAGGGGAGTTATTGTTTGCTTGTTTTGTGTTGCTGGGGTTTTTGTGGTGTTTTGTTGTTTGTGTTTTTGTTTGTTTGATTGGTTGGGTTTTTTTTCCTTTTAAGATGATTTAGCTTACCAGCAACAGACCTTTCCAGTTCTTTCAACTAAGTGAAACTGCCTTTTGGATATTTTAGGATAAAGACATATAAAACCACTGTAACAGGAGTGGTATCACAAGCAGAAGACCAGAAAGAAGAAGAAAAAGCATGTCTTAAAAAGAATATACATATAAAGTTTCTGGCAGAGAAGTGAAAGATGGGAGAAAGAATGTGTGTACGTATTGGATTCTTAAGTCAGTTCAGCCCAAACTTTCTTATTTTAGTCTCTAAATTGGGTTACATTTGTGACATTGGTGATTTTTGACTTCTCAGGTCTCCTGATCTTTGAGGTAGGTGCTTCTTTCTTTAGAAGGAACATATTTTCTCTTAAAATGTAGCAAGTGCACCCATACTTTAAACTGTTGCT